TGCTTTCCACGATTACCGCGCGGGTACTGCGGAGTAACCAGCTATTTCCGATGCCACGAGCCAGGCATCAAGGTTTTGAATTCTTTAATGCGCCTGCTGCCAAAGGCGTGCTGACGCGGCAGAGTTTGTGCGCTCAAACAAAACGTCGTCCAAATCCATGCGCACTGGTTGAGCTGGGCAGCACTGTACCGCATGACGTCACTCTTCGGCTGAGGCGGGCGAAATCGGCTCCGATAGCCCTCTATCGGGCAATATCCAAACCATTAGCTTAAGCGTTGGGAAGAAATGGAGCAGTATCCCAACCCGTGGATCTTACGCATGCTGGACTTCATGAATACTGGGTTCTCTGATTCTCCTCTGTCCAGGGATATTGGACGGTTTCTGGTTGTTGTGAACACTGGATGCTGCGATTCTGGACTTTTTGACCGCTGGACATTATGAGCTCTGGACGTTTCAATACGCATCCTCCTGGTGCTATTTCAGACGTAACTGGTCTTGAGGCTTCACTAGAGCATGTTTTTTAAATATGCACAAAGCCTGCTATGAACCGTCCTAAGGATTGGAGCGCATCGACGGAAGATTGCTCTCTGTCGTCTGCTGCGTAAGCGCAGAACGTTTGCAAGAACATGAATGCGACTAACCGAAAGCCGCTATTTCTCAATTTTACGTTTTTTATTCCTGAAGCACAGAACACTTTTAGGCCTTGCTACGCGTTCACTGAGCCTTATCGACGTGTAGTTGATAGTATGAGTGCAAATAGAAAACCTGTCGCGCAATCGCATCTCCGAAACCAAAACATTCAGCGGCATTTGTTGCTGCGGTCCAGCGGCACGGCTGCTTCCGTTTCTGCTAAGCCACGCCAACCCGACGTCAGCGTGAGGAAGAGCCACTTCAGTCCGCGGCCGACTTCTCCCGGTGACTCGCCTTAAATAAGCGTGCGTGACCCAGATTACCCTGGTGACACACGGTGCGTCCGCGCTCGGCGCTCGCGCTGTCTCCGCCCCCTCCCTCCCCCCCCCCCCCCCCTGAGCAGCTCGTCCACAGAGGGCCGGCTAATTTGGGCGTCCGGCATGTCCGGTCCACTCCGGCGAAGCGCGGCCTCGTGACACTCCCGGCCATGACGCAGGTCTTCTTTAGCGTTACGTCACGTGACAGCTGCAGCACCGTGTGTCACGTGCCACCTCTGGTACCGTGAGTCATACCAGACCTGATTGCCAGGTCACAGAGGAAACCGCCAATGATGGAGATGCGGCGAATCTGCATGATATACTTGCTTTCTGACCTGCTTTTAGGAGCCAAATTAATTGACCGATGAGTGCCGATATTCCTTATTGCGTCAGGTCGTCATGTGCTTGTAGCGGCAGACGGTCACTGACGTCCTGAAACCAGGCGAGCTGGACCTTTAAAGCAGCTGAACGTATTTTGACTTCCTAGTTGAACTGTGTAATTTGAAACAGTACGCGTTGTGTCTGTAATGGACAGAATGCTTTACTTCACATGAGCATTTTTGACTGCTTGATGAACGCAAACTACAGATAAGGTCGGGTGTTATTTGTTGTCCTACGTTGATACAGCTCGACTAGAAATGCTTTCTACGGCACGGAAGATTTCATGGATATTGGAACAGCGTGACTGCAGGGTTACTACGCCAGCATTGAAACCCGCCTCCAATGACAGGACTGGTCGCATCGACCGGGGAGGGGGGGGGGGGGGATTCACAATGTTTAAAGAGCGGCAGTGAGGAAAGTCAACAATTTCATCGTCCCAATCTTGCTGTGAAGCGTTCAAATGGCATTGTGTGACATTAAATGCCAGTGGATATCTTTTCTAGGTGGAAAGCTCTGAACCTCGAACGATGTATGAAGAAGCTTGGCAATGTGGTATTACCGGTCATTTTTAATCAGACAAATATGTATGTTTATGCACACGTATACACACACACGCACATTACATATATATATATATATATATATATATATATATATATATATATATATATATATATATATATATATATATATATATATGTGTGTGTGTGTGTGTGTGTGTGTGTGTGTGTGTGTGTGTGTGTGTGTGTGTGTGTGTGTGTGTGTGTGTGTGTGTGTGTGTGTGTGTGTGTGTGTGTGTGTGTGTGTGTGTGTGTGTGTGTGATGTTGTAGATGTGCACATAGCGCATATAATACGCATGTCAAAATATATCCATGTTCTGACGTGGGGGCAAAACACATTTTTGTTGTGAAAATTAGACAGATTAAAACGGTTTTTCCAAATGTCACCATAGTGCAAAGCCAGACTGGACCTGGCGGCATATGTCTTAAAACAAATATGCATGATTGATATGCTTTTAGCGACGAGGAATCACAAGACACTTGTCAGTAACAGTTATTCCCGGAAAGGGTGTTTACAAGGGTGAAAGTCGTGCATATTTTCATAAAAAAACAGCGGAGGTTGATGACATCACTAATGCAACCCATCGAACCGAAATAGGGAAAGCGCAGACGCCAGGATAACATACAACCCCTACTCGTGAACATGGCATAAAGTGATCTGCTGCAAGTGATGAAGTTTCGCACTGAGACACGTGCCAAGGCCTGTTTGATGCAGCTGAATGAAATAGGACCGAATGATTACATCACAACTTACAGACGTCACATATTTGTATTTTGCCCGCAGACACACACAAGTGGAGACACGTTGGCTTTCTTAGCGTTTGCGTTGCCCGAGCATGTAGCAGGACTGAATTGGAGCGCCAACAGAGGGCAGAACGCTATGTGGTGTAGATGGAGCAAACATGTAACGCCAGGAGCTTCCAAGCAAGGCAGGAAATGCGCTGGAGGCGTGAGGCTGCTGCTTCTTTAGCACGCGCTCGGTTGGGGGTCAAATTGACCCCCGAAGGTTTTTCCGGAATGGTTTCCGAACGGAAAATTTTGCATAGCTGTAGGCAATAGAGTAGCGGATCGTCTGGCTGCAAAAATTTAGATGTACCTTGTCAGGTCGCTGACCCATGGCAGGTCGAAGTGAGGCTATGGTTTCAGCGAGGGCAACTTCCAGGGAATAGTTGAATCTAATGCAACAACATGGCGAGTAAGACGTAGCCATACACCTCTGAGATACTTTCTTAGGCGACACGACAATTGAATAACAAATTACACTGATCCAAGGTCAGGTATGAAGGACAGATCAAGGTAAAAATAAACCTGTTTTATTTCTCCAGGGCTCGCTGTATGGGATAGTTTCTAGTACTCATTTCGAATTCATTGATATTAGAATTCGCTTTATACACCTTCCATACACTTCTTAAAGGTCAAAATAGGTCACTGATCTAGAATGACTCAGGTCAACATGTTGTTTTTAGGAGCATACTGCCTAGCGTAAGCTTTGTCGCTTATCCAAATGCAAAACTCAAAGCAGTCTTGCATGACTTTGGACACCATGGTCTTAAAAAGGTCAAACGATGTCACTGACCTTATATGAGCATGTGATTTCTTGCTTAGAACAGTTATCTAGATTCCAGAGGTCCTTTGGAACCAACCTGAAATTTTACCTTTTTTGGCCGTATGTGACCAAAACTTTAGGGACCTTACCTAGGAACCTAGGAACCAAAGTCTAGGAACCTTAAACCTTGACCTAAGTGAGTTTACGTACAGGCCAACACACCCTGTGAATTTGGTGTCTCCAGCTTTCTTAGTTCCTGAGATCTCAGAGGGCTCATATTGACCGCCGCGCGAGCGAAGAGTATCCAACCGGCCACCCGGTCGGGTGTTAACGGGCCGTCTCCGTGTGATGTATGTTGGAGCTCTCCTCGAGGTGTGACAGGCACCTCCGGAGAGCTCATTCTACGAGCCCCCGGTACGCACGCCTGCTTTTTGACCCCTACGAAAGAGCAATTAGATCGATCTGCACGGCACTTAGCATGGAACTAAACAGTACTTCCACGGTTGTTCTGAGACTGTATTTAGTTTGAGCTTCATGAGCTCCTGTCACCGATGCATTTAACCCATGGTGCAATCAAAAGTACCTGCGGTTCCGCTGAATAATTTGATGTGAGACATGAAGGCATGACATAGGACGGGTGAAAACTTGTAAATTGCTATCATGGGTATCATTTCTTTGGTTTATGATAAGCATACGGACGGACAGATGCTTCACCATCTTAATGAAAATCATGAGTAACGCTTTATGTATTTTTGAAGTAGTCTTTACAAAGCCGATTTCGGGGCGAGGCTCAAGTCACCCACAAAAAGGTTGGAAGGTGATGAAATAGCTCAAAGTCATATAAGCTGCCAAACAATTCTGCTCTTAGCCGCCGCCCGAACGCGGTTCATGAAGTTTGATTTCCCAATAAGTACAATTGTGTGTTGATACTGCACCAGAGATACAACGCACAATTATTTGGTTTGTTCGGTTAGGAGACTATCTTACTATCTTCTTACTTTTCGTCGCTAATACCTGCACACAAATATGAGACGTGTTTGCCCGTAACTGGTGGAGGGCAGGAAGCGGTTCGCCTCGTTGGCTTCGCTTTATACACTGTTCGCTATCTTGGTAAATTTACTTTGAGAACAACACTGAAACATCGTAGCAGTACAAAAATATATTTCCTTCATTTCCTTCGACTGTCGGTGTGGTATTACGAAGGTGAAGGTACAAGGCAGGAGACTGACAGGCTTCCGTAGCGGCCCGGCCTAGCCCTCCCATAGCCAGACAAACCCCTCCCTCCCACTCCGTCTCGCCACAGCAAGAACCGATGGCGCGTCACCACGCCTTCCAAGAACGTCACCGCTGACCACAAGTGGGAGGCCACACATCGGCCGCCCAGAACGCACCCTCGCCCCGAAATATCCGCCACTGATGCATCGCTGCCGCGCCGGCCGCGTCCCCACCGCGCCCCGGCTATTCGCGTCTCCGACGTGTGCCGCCTTGCCGGAACAGGTGGCGCCGGCGCCGAGACGGCCGGCCCCTTCCGGCCGCGTCGACGGTCGTCGGTCATCGGTGCCGACGCGGATAAGAGCAGCAGCGGCGGCGACGGCGCTCCAGAGGCGCGCGCGCCCCGTCGGAGCTGGTCTGTGCGCTGGTTCAGCCGCGGGCGACAGGGGAGAGGTGCCGGCACTTGGGGACTCTCGCGCTGCTCCACTGCAGGGGTGCAGGTGAGAAGAGGCTCTTTGTGGTCTTCCGACACTGCGGGATGGGATGTGTTGTTGCCGTTGCCATCCATCTGGAACGATTTTTTTGGGGGGAAACGACTATATTCGTTTTGTTGCAGGCATTGTCCGGTAAGCCACGCTACTCTCAATATGCTTACATTTGCAAACACGTGGAACAACTCGAGAGGTTGATGACATACCGATTCGTCGAGAATAACTGGTTCATGTAACCAGGGCCACAGACGTCCAAACTGACTGAAGCAGCTCAACCACGAGTACCCAGCGGCATACAGCAGGGCTCTACGGGTGGCCGGCGAAGACATTCTGTACATACAGTATTCTGGCCCAGTATTGGTTCAAGTCGGCATGGACCACCGTCAGCAAAACCACCGTTCCAAAATGGCAATGCTTACGCTATTCTCCGTTGGATGCGTTGGGTTGAAAGGCTATTAGACTGACTTGGACTATTCCAACTACAATGTTTGAAATCGTTTCCGGTTATTCCAGTTAGTCATTTCGACGAGACGGCCAAGTTCTGAACAGCGTCAATCCCACTTTCTGTGACGTGCCACCGCTTTGAACTGCGTCAATCCCACTGTTTGTGACGTGCTCCTGCTTTGAACGACATCAATCCCACTGTCTGTGACGTGCTCACCGCTTTGAACGGCATCAGTCCCACTGTCTGCGACGTACTCCTACTTTGAACGGCGTCAGTCCCACTGTATGTGGCGTACTCCTGCTTTGAAGGCATCAATCCCACTGTCTGTGACGTACTCCTGCTTTGAACGGCGTCAATCCCAGCTGTCTGTAACGCACTCCTACTTTGAACGGCGTCAGTGCCCACTGTATGTGACGTACCCCTGCTTTGAACGGCGGCAATCCCACTGTCTGTGACGTGCTCCTGCTTTGAACAGCGTCAGTCCCACTGCATGTGGCGTACTCCTGCTTTGAAGGCATCAATCCCACTGTCTGTGACGTACTCCTGCTTTGAACGGCGTCAATCCCACTGTCTGTGACGTGCTCCTGCTTTGAACAGCGTCAGTCCCACTGTCTGTGACGTGCTCCCGCTTTGAACAGCGTCATTACCAACGTCTGTGACGTACTCCTGCTTTCAACAGCGTCAATCCCACTGTCGGTAACGTACTCCTGTTTTGAACAGCGTCAGTCTGTCAGTCAGTATGTGACGCACTCCTGTTTTGCGCAGCTGTTTCGTCTTTTTACGCACTTGCCGCAAAATGACCCCCCCGTTGCTGAAATGAGAATTATTCCTAGCTCACGTCGTTTATTATATGAGATCAAGTTTTCGAGGGCAGAAATAGACAGGTAATTGGGCTTTTGCAACTTTGCGTAACTCGAGCCTGCCTTGTAAATCCCTATTCAACTTTCTGGCGTTGAGCTTGGATGCTGAGATAGTGGCGTGAGTTCGAAGTACCCCAGGCAAGTAGGCACATTTTCATGTTGAGGAATACGCCAAAACTGACGCGTAATGCATTGCTATTCACTTTCAAAAGCATCAAGGAGCTTGTTGGTGTCAGTTACATGTGCTGGGAACTGAACACTGATAGCGATACGCTTTTTACATCTGCATTCGACACACATTAGAGCTGTCGAGCCGGTCTACAGACTGTGCTCGTTAATCGGGCAACTCCTGATGGAATGTAGTTTTGCTTAATCAAAGCAGGGCAGATTTGGGATGCGGCAGTGACCCACATGGTCTACATCTAGGTTTCTCATCTCATCACGGTTTTCAGCCATGGATGGAAAGCAAGGTATTATCACGTGAAGTTGTGAAGCCGCGTCGCTCCTGTCATCATTTCTTTATCATACTGACTACGAACATGTAGCCACGAAGGAAATGCGGCACTTGAACATGCATTGGAATGTCTGCTTCTGGAATGCGTGAGATGCATCTGAACTTCGATACCCTCGCCTTTAATGGCTGTCCGTTTTTCCAATGGACATAAAGTGAGACAAGAACATAAACATATATTGGGCTCAGCACTCACACTTGAAGTGGGGTTCGAAGTGGGGTGAAGTAAAGCGAATTTCGTACGATCTCGACAATGTCCATCACGTATCATCGCCACTTCCACCGCCGGGTTTTTGCATTAACTTTAGAACGTAAATAGATGCGGTTCTCCAATGTTGCGTATATTTTCTGTTCATTGCTCACCTTGAAGCGTCTTGCAGCTGCCTTGCATGAAAGTGTTATTCCATAAAATGGTCCGTACCCATTCCCGTACTAGGCTAACAATTGGAAAGAGAATTTTGGTACATTTTCTGTTATATTGTGTTATAGTTATATTCTGATGCAGAATCACTGTATCAGCGAAAAAATTGCCCTTTCAATAGTTTTGGTGTGAAGGTTTCTATTTCGGTTGAACACAGGGCCTTAGCGGGCTAGGCAGGAGTTACAGAAGTTATCCCTCTTAATGTCTCCCGGGCTTAGCAAAAAAGCGGCGGAGTGGAGCGACACGAAATTTACTTTAACTTTGTTTATTTCTATTTTGCTTCCTATGATTCCATTTTTGGCGGTGCAGCCGCCAAAAATGGAAGCACAGGAAGCACCGGCCCAGCCGCAGCATGGCACCGGCACAACGGCACTCTGGCAGCACCGGCACAGCACAGCACCCCGACTACACCGTCACCCAAGAGCCCAATAGGTGACGTAATCTCTCTTCCAGTAGTCCCCGTGCCCCACACAGACAACAGTTGTCGGAAACGGAGAGGCAGATGCGTCGTGATGACCAGCTCCCCTGTCAAAAGGCAACTGAGAAGGCCCAAGCGAAAAAACGCTCAGTGCTTTGTAAACAAAGCAGAAGAAAGCTAAAGTAGAACGGGAAAGCAACAACAGGAAGATGAGACCACTAGGAAGTGTTCTCTGCACATATGACATCTGTGTGTACTGCTCAGAAGGCGTGGCCGGGGAACATGGGTGTGACTTCTTTGATGCAATCGTTGCACGCATGAAGTGCAATGACGGGTCCAGCAGCACGGTTTTTCTCACGGTGCGATGAAATGAGAAATGAAAGAAAAGGCAATTTAGTCTTTACAGTGTAAAAGCTAGGAAAAATGTTCGTTGATTAACCGTTGAACAGTTGCAAGAAGTCAGTGTACTTCGAAGGTACAACAACTTCGGTGTACTTCAAGTCTCGGGATATCTGTTGTTAAATAATACTGTGCGAGCTCCGATATCACCTCAAATTTCGTATGTTGAGCCCTGAAAAGAGAAATGGGCAAATCTGAAAAGTGGGAAATGTCGAGGCATTCCACCTACTTCGAGTCAGAAGGACATGACCTAGGGTCATAGGTACAATTTTTACAGGATGCAACACGCATAGGCTACTCTTCCTGCAAATTTGGTAATTGAAAACGTGTTAGTCAGGCGACCACAACCATTGTTACACTCATACGGACTGCACGGAGAAATGGAGGGCGGTGCAGCTCCGAGGTCGGTGCTACCCCACAGTGTGACAGCTTTTTCAAAGCCACTCGGAAATATAACTAATTTGTACCCGCCTTTGACCACTCTCGAGAAGAAAAAAAAAACATTAAGAAAATTGGTAAGTGATTGCAAGCGATTCACTTTCCCGACACCCGCACCTCAAATTCCACCAGGATATGGGGCAGAAGGAAGGGGGTCGGTGCTCATCTTTCCTTCCCATGTCTGTCAAAAGTCCTCAAGTCTCTTTCAATCACCACCGCTATAATCTTTTGCTCATGGTTGGGGCACATGTAGCAAATCCTAGGCACGGTAAATATGCATATGTCATGACTCACCTGAATCGTTACTGGTCCAAAGGAGCCCTATTGCATGCACGCCAACAGCATTTCAACACGATGCCAGCAATGTTCATCAATAGCCTTAAGATGTTTGGCACGCTATACATGTAGCTAAAGCGGCTCAGCCAAGGCTTTGCATGCTATATGCAACGCTTCATGTGATGCCGTCCAGGTGGTCTTTAAAAGAATGAACCACAGTCACGAAATGTCCTATAACTGCATCGCACAATTTCCACATGGATAGTACAGTCGCATAGATGCGGCCCAGAGTGCTGAGAGCATGCCATTGAACGCCCATGGGGAGATCTGATAGCGTTGAGAAGCTTTTCACGGGTCCTGTCATCGAAGCTACGCCATCGCCATTGGGCCTTGTTCTGCCATTGACAGGAACACATTCTGAAGGCAATGGCATGCAATCAGAGCCGGAGCACCGTACTGTCGCAAATGGCGTCATAGCACTGAATGAAACGCAATTTCCTGCTGCGGAAGATTTGGAGGACTATTTTGAAATGAAAGGACGTAGCTGATTGGGCTGTCGCAAACGCTGAATATATCTTGGAAAGCTGTGAGCATCACAAATAACGCGACAAAACAGATCTATTGTCGGGAGACTGCACGCTGTCTGAGACGAACCAAGTTTATCCCCTTGTGGTACCCATTCTGTTGCGCCTCCTCGCCCGCGGCACCGTCAAAAAGGAAAGGCCGAACTCTGCATGGACTCTGTTCACTTGGTCACTGGTTCTCTGGAAGGGCCGAACTCTGTTCACTTGTTCGCTCCGAACTCTGCATGAAGTGTTCACTTGATCGCTCCGAAGACTCATGTTCTAAAGCCGTTTCAGTGGCCCGGTTGGTAAAACAGCGGACAACTGAGCACTCATAGCAGGCGCATAAGTCCCTGCTACACAAAACCGTACCGGAATGATTTGTCAATAAGTTGGCAATGGCACAATGGCACTTGGCCAAGAGCGGCAATCTGGCACCAATAGGTTATCGTGGTGAAACGTCGCACTGCATGTCACATTTTCGCAAACAAATTCTACATAGGTGAAAATGCTTTGTTGAGGTGGTGGTGTGTGGTGCTTACAACGAGCTGCGCTTGCTATAGAATTGAGTGCAAGCGCGTTCCTTGCAATACGTTCCAAACGATATTTGCTCTAAGCGTCATGTTCCGATTATATTGACTATTGCTTATGGTCCATGCTGCATACACTTAACATTAATGCACAAAAACAAGGTGATAGATTTTAACCACAACGCCTTTGGATATTTCTACACAATCACAAATCATTGGATAATTATTCCCCCGCGGCAAGTCACGTCATTGCCATTCGCTCCGACCACTGCCAGTCCTCCCCACATTTCACGCCCGTGCCGCAGGATGTCGCCTCTGTCGCGGCGGTGGCCGCTGCTGCTGCTCGTCTCCGCTGTCGCCGCCTACATCAGCCCGACGCCGGAGCCGCCCGGCGCCGTGCTCTACGATCGCTCGTGGCCGTACCCGGCCTCTGGCGGCGATAGCTGGCCGCCGAACCCCTGGGGTCGGCGCCTCTGGCGGCGGGCCGCGGGGGCCGGAGCGGCGCCGCGCCCCGCGTACCGCGGCGCTGTGGGACAGCCACACTGGATGCCGCCCCAGTTCTTGCAAGGCGCGGACGCGGAGCGTGGGTTACAGCGGGTCCTGTCGAGGCAGCGCAGGGTGAGGAGATGCCTGGCGCCTGTGCAGCGCCGCGGCTTGAGTCTGTCGAGTCATCTGTCTTTTACGGCTGATCAGTGGCGTTTGCGGTGTGGCTGAGCCTGCTGGGACAGCGGAAATTGCGATAATTGGGGAATTTCGGCCATTGTACTCCCCGTTATCAGAGACTGGTCACGTTTCCAGTCTGCCGGCCACATAATCTGGCAGTCATTTACTGTGCGATTACCGATTCCAAATATAGCAGAAAATGCAGCCCAAATCACATTTTTAGCCTATGTTTGGCAATGGCGCTTTTAGTGGCGCTACCTTGATATAGGCAATGTAATTTATGTTAGGAAATGGCATAAGAGTCAGCTCGATCATGGTTCAAATGTCTGAATGAAAAAAAACACGATTTGTCTAATTGTAATGCACTGAAGTATGATTGCAGCAGAACTGAATGATAGTTAATCATAGCGTGAGGTTCTATTCACCGCGCAACACCACGCAGTACTGAGTGGATAGGTATATTCAAGCGATACATGCTCATAGCAATGCCATTAAGATTACACACGTTATAATATCACTAGCTCCCATGCCTCACAAGCCTTCCCGACTAGTGAAAGCAGCCCAGGCTGCCCCAGTTGTCTTCTCCGAGAACCCTGCATACAAATCTTCCCGGTCCTGTACACAGGACAGCTCGTGGGTTCAGATGGTGGGGTCGCAGAGCCCCTGCATTATGTCAGAATCATTCCAGCGTTTTCTTCCCACTTTCAGTTCTGAGCCCATAACGGCCAGTGCTGTAATTTACCGAGATAACCCTGGGCGAATGATCACCAAACCGAAAGGGCACCACCCATGAATATGGAATGCGTGTATTACGTTCGGCAGAATTCTGCAGTCTAAGTCAAGTGGAAAGTTTTTAGTTTATTCGACTGCTACGTTCGTGTTCATATCGAGCCTCACGTCTTCGGGATGACTGCAGTGAGTCGAGGGCGCCCCACACCCTGCCCGCCCGTGCTGCCCTCTACACCTGCAGCACCGCCGCCCATTACAGTGTTGTCCCCTACACCTGCAGAAGCACGGCCGCCCTCAGCGCTGGAACATTGCGCGCCTGTGCGAGGAGCGCGGCGAATGCACGTGTTACAGCCAGAAGACGCGCGCCACCTACTGCTGCGACTGCGAGTGGGGCTCCTGCTTCCCCGGACAGGCTGGGGTTGCGCTGGAGGGCGGCCAGCTCCGGCGCATGGACCGGCTGGCGGCCGGTGACCGCGTGCTGACAGGTGATTGGTGGTGAGACCGAACCGGGGTGGAGGATCTGACGCGGCCGATGACGCAGGCCGGGCGGATTTCAACGAAGATCATTGATGACTATGCAGGCTCATTTACAAAGTTTGCATTCTTGTCTTCAGCTTTCAGAGGCTGTTCGATCGCACGTAGCAACGTATAGGTTTCGCTGCTCTGTCACACTGGGAAGGTAAGAAATGGGTTAACTTCACCATTCGATTCAGATCCTGGTTCAGTACAACTTACCGTGCGGCGCGCTGATAACGGATCATTAACACCCCACTCCCGACCCCGAGGAGCACGCGCCCCACCGTGACACCGCTCCCCTCTCGGCGCAGTGACCTCCGGCGGCGAGCTGACGCCGACCACAGTGCTTGGCTTCCTGGACCGGCGACCCCAAGCCACCGGCGAGTACCTGCACCTTCAGCTGGCCAGCGGGCACCAGTTGCGGCTCTCGGCCAATCACGTCACGTTCACGCGAAGCGGGGGTGGCGTCTACGCCAGCCAGGTGCAACCTGGTGACGAGCTGCTCGTCGCCGCCGCCAACAGCACCAGCTACAGCCCGGTAGTCAGCGTCCAGTACTCCATCATGAAGGGTAAGTAGGTAAGACGTAGTTTGCGCACTCCGCCAAGGATCTACATAAGCTTGTATCGAACTGATTACCTTTGCATCGACGACCATGAAACCAAGTCACGATCTTTACAGGGCTTTGCAGCACACAGTGATATTTGCTAGCAGGTGAAACCGTAATCAAAGTATCCAGTATTACAGCTTCTTATCATTAATTTTCTCTCCTGCCCACCATCGTCAAAGCTATTGAAATAGGTAAGGTTTCCCTTCTAGAGTGGCAGAGGTACACCAGCAGGGCTGGAAAAGCTCCTTTTCTGTCAGTAACGAAATTTGGCATCGTCTAAATTGTCACCTGGAGTCAAATATTTCAGAAACCATAGCAAGATATCTCTAAATGCAATAAATCACAAAAAGCAAGGCAAATTAAATGCAATGCGGCATGACCATCGAACATTTTCGTTTCGGGAGTTCCTTTGCACTAAAGTCTCATTTGCTGGCCATCAAACACTGAAAGAAGATTGAGACTAACCTAACATAATTATCAGACAAAGGTATACTTGACATAACCAGCCCAAATGCATGCAGTTTCCTGTCCAGTTGGGGGGGAGGAGATTGTGCCTCTTAACCAGGAATGTAGTTTCCTGCTTTTGGTTATCATTTTTGTCCATTATTTTTCATTTGTCATAATTTGGGGGTTCAGCCACTAAAAACTATGTTTGAGAAACTACACCCCTGCTGCTAGCTGCGGGAGAAAACTGCTTTAAGTGCATTTCGGAGGCAGGATTAGCCATTTTTCTTCCTCCTGCACCCCCCCCCCCCCGCCTTCCTTTTGCATCCCTCACCCATGCAAAACTGCATTCGTGTGGCCCTGCATTTACGGATAACATGGTTCTGCAAGTATCTGAAACAATATTACTTTTGTTTTCGTGACGTCGTCGCACAACTAGCTGAAAGCGTTGGCGACCTTCATTATCTTGGCACAATCAATGTCGGTGCAGAACTCGCACTCCCTAAAATGATCCCAATTATGTAGAGCGAAACCCATACAATATTGATATCAACGGATGCAAGCGATGTGTTTTAACTCCTCTAGCACCTTCATTTAGCTTTACATGCAATATGATGATGTACAACTAAAAGCGTTTTATTTCATGCCTGCCCACCGGTCAGCTGGGATGAAAAAAGCTTCTGATTCAACGGATGCAACCGAACTGTATATATGATATGACAAAAACTGACACTTTTACGACCCAATCGATGACAAAATTGCGAACATGAAAAAATGTCAACTGACTAGAACATTCTATAAAAGATCATTGTAGCTAGGCCAAACTCAAAGCTTAGTATTGGTTTGTGCTTGCTAACGCTTGCAGTGTGAGCATGCGTAGAACGCATGTCGAGACGTTGACGTTTCGCTGCATGAGGAAGTTGAGTCATAAGATGCCGCCAAATATAGTGGTGTATGCCTAGTTTAATCAAGATAGTTTTAAGCAGGTGGCAGAAACATATTATAAACTATACTATATCAGTGCTGACGTCACAGATCAGTGACGACACAGCTCCTTTCCAATATGATCGTCAGAATCATGGGTGGCCACAGTATTTAACTTGCATTTGAAGTTATAAAAAATGGAGATTGTATAAAAGGCATAATGGTGACGTCAAACACCATCCTAAACACTCACATGGGCACGCAGAGATCCACGGCTCCGCGAATCTCCGGCCCTTGGAGAGGATTTAGCATAGGAGAGAAGAAATATTCTCCACCACGGAATCGGAGCTGAATACGTGATGAAAACCAATAAAAGTGGCATTACACACAAGCACCGAATTTTTTATTGATCTACAGAGTGTCGCCACAGAAATATTATCTGAGTGTAAAGCGAAAGTAGGGGTTCTTGTTCGCAGTTGGGCAGAACGTTTGGTTTTGTATTTTTGTAATTATTTTCCATTTTGAGATCTAACTCTTATCTAAGCTGGGTTTTGTCGATCACTAGGTTTTAAAAAACCATTAAGATCCTAAACAAGCAAGATGAAAAAAGAGAAATAACTTGAAGCAGCTGTATCGTTGACCATTGCTATTCCGTGCACGCTATTTATGAAGCTTTCCGGCGTTTTTCTTAAGCCGCGTGCGGGGCCGTGGCGGGCGGTGGTAGCGTAATTGGTTGATAGTAGAGATAAAGACAGGATATGAATTCACCTTACTGTCATACACGAAAAAAGTATTGTATCAGAATCAACGTCCGTGAGTAGATGCAGCAATGCTGACTTTGCACGGCCGCCTTGCTCTATGGGGAGAAAATGATTCCTCCACCCCCGCCGCGTTGACCTCTTTAATCTCAAATAAGTGGTGCAAACGATGTTCTCCCGATTTTGACCGAGTTTCTTCTCAAAGTTGGGGAGCAGCACTCCATCCAACTAAATACGAAACTACACCGCGAGCCCCAAATTAAGTATATCAAGGTCACGAAAAGCCTACGTATCACATTGCTCCAGAATATTTCCCTTCGGTGAGGAAGGTTATGCCTTGGCTAGAACGCAGCTGCACTAACTACTATCCCCCAGATGCTCCTATTTATATCATTGTGGCTTGCTTGACATTTCAATCATGAATTTGTCATGATATGCTCTAGGGAATTGTTTAACAGGTGCACAACCTTTTGAGCATTGCTTTCTATCATCCTTAATTATGACTCACGCCTTAATAATAGAATTGCCAGTATCAGCAACTTTTTATCTGCTCCTTACTTTCAAAACACACAGTAGTTGTGACCATAGACTTAGAAAACGAACACTTACTTCGGAAGCTAGAAAATGTAAGAATTGCAAGCAGCCAATCTCAAATGGCCTTTGGCAATCACCGACCAGACCAGCTAGAGTGTGGTTTTACTGTCATCTGCTGACAAAGAATGTCATTCAGTGCCAACTGTGAGTACAGTGCAAACTCACCTGGATTATTCTGTTCTTACTACACGCCATGGTTTTAGAGTTTGTGTTCTCTCCCGCAAGTGCCAAAACCAAATTTCAGATGCCGAATGTGAGAGACCTACAGCAGCGATGCTCGACCTCTTACCTCAAAGCCGCTGTTCCCCTCAGTGGCAGGAAGCCCGAGATGAATCCTTGACGTGTGTCGCCCCAACGACCTCCCTTTACCTCTGAGGCTACAGCTCAGGCATCCACAAACGAAGATCCTAGATCGGCAGGGCTTTTCAACGCTGTTACATTAAAAAACAACGGACGATTAGCAGCATCGTTCTAGCCATTCAGCTTCTCACGGCATGAATGCAACCAACAGCAGCCCACAGACTTCGACGCTTTAAAACGCTGCGCAGCAAACTGATCACGTCCGTCGCAAGATGCTGTGGCCAGCCAAGATTCTTACGACTAGAAAGAAGCCTAGTTATTTCGTATTGTATACCGTTAAGTGTGTGAAGTGAATATTGGCTGAAAAAATCCGTGAAAATCACTGATCTGCGCGGCACTGGAAGAGCAGTGTCGACACCGATTTGTGGCGTCAGTACTGATAAACTTTAATTTGTTGCATGTTTCTGCCACCTGCTAAAAACTGTCCTGATTAAGGCTGCTATGTTTGGCGGCATTCCATGGCTCAACTCGCTCATATATCGAAACGTCAACGTTTCGACATGTACTCACGCTGCAGGCGTTAATGAGTACAGACCAATATCAAGATTTAATTTACGTCGAGCTGGTGTAAGCTGGTGTAACATGGTCTTATGTGTTGAAATTCGTGTTTATTTTCACAATGTTGTCACCAATTGCTTCTAAAAAGGTGCCAGTTTTTATCATCGATCATATCCGGTAAATCAGAAGCTTTTCACCCTTGTACGCCAACGTGAGTTCCCTTCTCTCGTGAGCCGACGGCCGTCCCCACGCCTAGGCTCCGATGACCGTGCGCTACACCCACGCTCCGCCGTTCCGTCCGCAGGAGCGTTCGTGCCTCTGACGGAACACGGCACTCTGCTAGTGGACGGTGTCTGGGCCTCCAACTACGCCTCGTTCCCGCACGCGCTGAGCCACGCGCTGACAACGCCGTTCCGTCTCTGGCCGGCGCTGTTGTCCGAGAGGTTCGTCGTCGCCGACAAGAACGTGCTGGTGGATGGCCTGAAGCGGCTCGGTCGGCTGACGCTGGGGGCGTACAGCGGCGGGGTGCTCCGTTTGGTCTCGCCCTGAGCACCAGTCGGCGGCGCCGCGCGGAGGGGTACGCCGCGGCTCGGTTGTCTGACGTTGGGGGCCTACGGCGGCGGGGTGCTCCGTCTGGTCTCGCCCTGATCACCAGTCGGCGGCGCCGCGCGGAGGGGTGCGCCGCGTGGAGGTCGCTCTTAGCGCACCAGGGGGAGGAGATCATCCAGTGTGGTGGGTTATAGCCACGTGCGGGTACAGAATCAGGGCGGGCTTTACTACGCTTGCATTGATTTTATTTGGGTAATGTAATATGTTTTGAGCCGTAGTTTTCCGATTTTGTGGTGGATCTCAGTACATTTGCACTGACAAGCGTGAGCCAGATGCCGTTGCCAGATTGCTTGCACGTTCTTGATATATTACTTTTTAAAAAATGTGTTTGCATTGCTTTGTAGTGGTGTGTAGCTTTAGTATGGTGCATTGTTACGATAAGTAAAGCTCCTGTTTTATGCGTTTTATTTCAGTCACTGCGTGTCGTCTGAACGTTTATCTTATTGCAACTCTTCGAAAACATTAGACGCCCATTTTGCTTAATTTGTCGTCACCTACAACAGCATATCATATGTAAGGCTAATCGACAGCGGTTGTGTGGAGCGGCGATCAATCCAACAGTCCAGCTCACCGCGGCGTAAAAGCTACGCTTAGGCGATCTCTACTATGTGATTTGCAGCGACTGGCGGCAGCCAGAAAATGTGAATGTTGCAAACAGTTATCTCGCGTTTGTTGTATTTACACACATATGGCTCTTTCAAAAGACAATAAAATACAATAACAATATGATTAGTCTATAAGACTGGGAACCCCAGAAGGTAGCGCCAGGGAATGCTTTGATTAACGGTTCGAGCAGGCTGTTCGCCGATCCAAGCAGCGTCGTGTCTGAATCATCCTCTGAACTTCCCCACTCTTCCAGTTCCACCAGTGTCTCAGGCATACCGTAGCTCTCTCGCGTTATCCCTCAGTCCCCTCAGGTCCTGGCCGGTTTGTACCAACATACGAGCACTTCATGCGTCTAGTTTCTTGAGCTCCACCAACACTTCTCGGATGGAGGACGCCTCCGGGTCGTTCGCACGACCCTCGGCAAAGTTGACCGCGTAGTTTGGGCCGCCTCCAACAGGCGGTACCGGTGGCGCTGCGCTGAGTGTGGCGCCGCCCGCGGCCGCGAGTGGAACTAGAAGCGACGACGTCTCAACGCCAGCCTTCGCCGTCTCTGTCGATTGGGCGCCAGCGTTACGATTGCTTCCCTGCGATTGATAAAGACACTACTTAAACCACGATGGCAAAGGGCATGTGTGATCTCTGATGCATTACGTTACGGTACTATTTTGTCTGCAAAGCAACACCTGGCACGTTTACGAGCGGGCTATTTACCTCATCGTCTGCCACAGCCCTGTATATACACAACGGGGTAGGGTCTGTCCGGCGAGCGGTCTGCGAAGTCGTACGGCCGGTCCAGGACGTGGTACAGCTGATGTCGGGAGGGTTCGGGGAGCACGCCGACCGCCGACCGCCGGCTAGCGAGATGGAACGAGCGGCCGACCCGGCCGACTGCCGGACCCGCTCGCGACGAGCCGAGCCCCTGCAGGTGCCCCGCCGCGTCGAACGACCGACTCTCGGCCGGTCGAGCGGGGTTCTCGAGCTGCCCGGGGGTGTGCAGCGCCGGCTCGTACCGCGGAAGCGCGTCCGCGCGGCTGCCGCTCCTCGGAGGAGGCGGGTCGGGCGCAGTCCGCCCCGAGATGAGGTGGTCGGACGGCCGCCGGGCCCACCGCCAGCGGTCCGTCCCAGCCACCGGAGGCGGCGGCGGCGCACTGCTCCACACCCAGGCACGCCGCCGCGACTCGACCGGCGTCAGGTCGACGGCCGACGGTGGACCGTCCGCCTCGGCTTCGAGGAGACGCGCCTCCCGCAGTGACGTCTGGCGACTCGACGGGAAGACCAACGACGGTCTCCGGGAAGGTCGAGATGGGAAGCGGAGGCGAGGCTGCCGCGTCGTCCGGGGAGCGTTCCCGGCGTCTCGGGACGGCCAGCGCAGTCTGCCAACTGTTGAGTTCCCGCGAGACCGGAGGGGGGCTGGTCGACTTGGTCGGCTTGGTCGACTTGGCCGACTTCGGTCTGAGAGCCGGAGTCTGTTTCTACGGGTCGTTGTCGCGCCAGAGCCCAGCACTTCTAGAGGCTGAGGGGTTGGCCGGGGCCTCCTGGTGGATGTAGTGGTGGATGTAGGTGTGGGTTGTGAAAGGGACGATTCCCTACTCAAACTCTGCACTGACCTGGATGCTTCAGTGGTTGGTGACTGGACAAAAAATTTCGCATGTTTTCCTCTTTGCCTCGCCGACGATTTATGGGACCCTCGCCACTTCCTAACGTTAGATAGACCCAACCGAGGACGGGGAGTTCGCGCCGTCGGAAACCTAATCCTCGAGATAAGTGACTTAGACCCATGAGGAGCTGCTGAAGCCGAAAGATCATATCTATTGTCCAGTCCTTGCAATGTGCTACGTGTATGGTCCTCAGGGAACGCAATCCTCGATGGGGACGCGCCAGCGGTAGCTGACCGCGATGGCGAAAGGCTAGACGCTGTCGTCAACGCCAGGCGAGAAATATTGCTACGGATCCTAGGAGGCCGAGACCGCAACGCTGGAGGCCTGGGAGTGTCTGTCATGCCGGTGGTGATGATGGGTCGTGTCGTGGTCACTGATGCTGACGCTTCTCTTGTGATTGAGATAGGAGAAGCTGTAACATCTGCTGCTGCGGAAGAATATGCAGGAGTAAGAGCACGGAATGGAGCAGATGTTGCTGTTGTTGTTGTTGTTGTTGCACTTGTGGCAACCCTCAAACTCTGCTCAAGAGTCATGTCTTCCCGGCTCGCCTTAGCAGCCAAAGGTCTTTGAACAAAAAGTGGTTTCAGTCGATTATCCAGAGAAGAACTCAATGATTTGAATAGAGGCCTTTGCAATGTTTGGGCTCTGGTTGGCGGTGCAGACGCCAAAACAGGCTGGAACTCATCTGTATTTGCCTCCGCGCTTGCTGCCTTGTTGGCTATTTGATTCATTATCTCCTGTTTCAGTACGTCCGACAGCGACAGCGGCCGTTTTCTCTTCCGTACATCCACTGTCAGCTGGGATCGGGTCATGCCCATCACCTGGGCGGATTGACGAGCATCAGTGTCCTCAGAAACACTTGACTGATTATCATCCGCTGGCGGAACCCTTTGCCTTATTATGTTCATCGCGTTGTCGATTGGCCCTGCCCTGGTTGCAGAAGGCGGCAGTGTGGTGGTTAATGACAATGGCATCTGATCAGCGTCCTCCATAAAATCCTTCTTCGTGGCAAGCGCATCCAACGTCCTCTGCATCAGTTCCTCCGACAGGGACATCGCTCCATGCCCGCGAGTTTGCTTCAACTCCCTCATCTCTCTCACAGAGTCCAGCGAGTGGGGCCCGTTAGGCGCCTCTCCTGGTGAGCGGAGCTGAGCTCGTGCAGCGAACATAGATGGCGGAACCGTGCCGGCGAGCAGAGCGTCGGCCAGTGCCGTGCCACGCTGTTGCCGGCCCTGGTCGGACTCTGACAGCCGCGACAGCAGCGCGGCCAGGCGGCCGTCCTGCGGGGTTCGGGAGGAGCCGGACGCGTGGGGTCGCTCCGTGGCAGGGGGTCGGGTAGTGGTCCGATGCAGAAGAACATTCGGCACACGGGACGAGCCAAGCAGCGGTGGCCGACTCCTGCTTAAAGGGCGAAGTGTGACCCGTCTAAATGCCCCCTCTGTGACAGGCGAAGAGCTGCCGACCGTCAGCCGACCACGACTGAAGGAACGGGGAGTGGTTCGCCGAAGGACCACTGCCGGGACTGGCGTGGTGCCCCATACCGCCGGCCGCCGTCTGGTGGCGGGCCGGTCAGTCGTTCGCCGCAGAGCGTCGGCCAGCGTGGTGCGCAGGCTCTGTCGGACTGGTCCGGCCGCAGCCGCACGGGCAGCCGTCTCAGGTCGGGTCAGACGCTCGAAGAGCGGCCGCTGGGTGCCTGGCATCCGCCCACCGACGCCGGCCAGCTTTCTCAGCTCCATCCGCTGCAGCTGCTGCTCCACCCGGGTCAGAAGCTCGGCTAGGGCTTCGGAGCTCGCGGACTCGTCCGTACCCGGAGACGGTGGGGTATCAGTGGGAGCTGGCGATGGAGGAGCTCTCGCGCGGTCTGCCTCAGACGCGGATTCGGCGGAGGCCTCCTCCCTCTGCTGACTCATCAAACGCAGCATGGCGGAGGTGACGGCAGGGAAGCGCTCCAGCTCCGTGATCATTGACGGTGGAATAGCCGACAGGAGGGCGGCGATGCTAGGGATTTCAAAATCATTACCTGTAGAGATGGAATCGTTGGAAACCCCTTCGACTTCGGACGATATCGACGTCTGTGCCGAGGGATTTACAGTCGTAGATAACGTCATGTCGGGGGAATTTCCCACTGGCAGGCCAGATGCTTCCCCACTGGTCGCTGTATCGTCCTGGGCAATCGAAGGCATGTTCATTAAATTGTTCGGTGATGCTTTTGAAGGCTCGTTGCCATCACCCATATCCATCAGAACCATCATAAGCTTATCATTTTCCTCTATTCGGTCTCGCGTTATGCCCGAATTGTTTGGCTTCGTTATCTGGTCCTCAGTACTATCATCATCATCTTGTGACATGATATCTTCATTCTTCAGGGCATCCTCTGATATCATAATAATGTCACTAGAGTCGTGAGGGAACATGATGTCGAGCTGCTCAGCCACCTCCTCGATGGTTTTCGAGGGTGCAAGCTTAGGATCAGAGTCGGTGATTTTAACTTCGACTATGTTTTCCTTAGTACCATTTGATGCAGTCGAATTTCTATTTATCCTGTAAAACAACCGGAAGAGCATTTTGGTCTCCGGCGAAAGTCCTTCCGAGGAAGAAGGATACAGTTCGTTGAAGCTTTCACTGATGCTCTGGACAGTTGACTCAAACTCCGGCAGAATGCCGTGCATCGTCTCCACCATTGTCTTAACCTCAGTTGGCGTCGGCACGGTTTGATTGGTGTTGTCAACGCGAACCTCTACCTCGACGTCCACGTCGGCGGGCATCACATCACCCTCTGCCGAGACCACCTCCACAGCTCGGCCGTCGAGCGTGCTGTTCGTCTCAGTCGAGCGTGGAGTTCCGGCGGGAGAAGCCGGTTGGAGAAGCTCGGCGGTGATGGTCTCTGAGCCGCCTGATCCTGCAGATGGCTGAGACGTCACTTCATCGTCCGCTGCTGGTGCTGACCCCAGCGTCGCCAGGGCCTCCAACACGCTCACCAGCCTCAGCCTCGCCTCCGGTGTGAGAGTGTCGCTCTCACCAGTGGCCTGCAGCCCGTCGTCCTCGGTGTTCTCCACATCCAAGAGCTCGCTACCCTCTTGCGGACGATCTAGAAATGTCATCCCTGCATCCGTATTCAACGGGCTCAAAGCGTCGAAAGCGGTACGTGTGGGCGCTATCATCACCGTCTCCAGCGAGTTGTTCCTCTTCATCTCCTGTACCTCAGACAGCTGCATGGCCTTGATCATGAGATCGGCGCCAATATCCACGGAAGTTGTAGCATCCCTGTCAGTGGATGACAGCTCTGTTGCAGTGGCTAGCCTCGCTACCTCGCGCGCGCGCTGCTCCTCGGCCTCCGCGTCCAGCATTTTCGTCGTCATAAGCATCAGCTCGAGGAACTTTTCGGGCGGCATCAGCGCGGCGGCGGCGTCCTTACCACCGGCCGGCAGCCGGACCGGGACGGCCATCTCCGTCTGGACCTCGTTGGCGGCCAGGTGGTCGGCGGGCAGGAGCGTGAGCGGAGGAGGAGGGTCGACCAGGGCGGCGGACCGGACACCGGTGCCGGGAGGGGAGCGGGCAGCAGCGTCCGGGAGTGTCGTGCTCGCGTCCGGGGCGGCCTCGCGGCGCGGCTCGTCCGGCAGCGTCGTGCCAAGGTCAGTGCGCGGTCGATAGGTCGTGACCCGAGCGGTCAGGAGCCCTGCAAATCAGACATGCAGTTTATGCGGTGCGGTACAGGGTGTAGCGCACTTTAGCAGCAGGTAAGGTGTGCAAAGCAGGGAAACAAAGCGGTTGGAGAGGCAATACGCAATGCGGCATGCACTGTGCAGTTTAGGTGGGGTGACATTTGCTGATTTATCTACAAGAGAGGATGGAGCTTCCAAATTGTTAGCTGCTGAGATTGATAACGTAAAGTCTTGCTTCGTTGCATATCACTTAAGACTGCTTTCAGCCTGACCTTCGCAACGTCACACTCCGGAGGCACCACCCTTGCGGAAAAGAGGAGTACTGCTGCAGAGCTTAGCTACAATAAATTTTACTAGAAGAGAAAACACACCAAAAACAATAGATCTCTAAAAGGTCAGAAGTCGCTTCAGCCTGTCAGCATATGTACAGCACAAGCGCGTCAACGTTTAGCGAAGCCGGCATGCCCACACTGTCGATCGGTCACAAGAACTGACCTACGTCAGCGAACCCGCCTCGTGAAGCAGCGGTGGCAGTCGGGCGCGCGCCAGGCGGGGGCAGGTAAGTACCCTCCGGCCGCCTTATCCTACTGCGTGCGCCTGGTCGGCGCGTCGGCGCGGGCGGCGCCGCCGTCTGTGGTGCAGAGGGCAGCACCGGCGCGGTTGTGGTTAGTAGCGCAGGCTCCGTCGTCGTCGAGGCGGCCGGCGCGTCGCGGGCGTCAGTGGAAGCGAGAGCGTCGGCGGCGACGGCGGCTATCTGGTCGGTGACTACCTGCTGGAGCGTGTCGCGGACGTCGATGAGCGGCGGGGCGTCGGCCGGCGGCGGCAGGTACTCCTGCGGCTGCGGCTGCACCTCCAGCACCGGCGGCGCCTCTCCACCCAGCAGCGGCACCAGCTCCGTCACGGCCGGCTCCTCCTGTACCTCGGTCAGACCGCCCGTGCTGACCTCGGTCAGACCGCCCGAGCCGACCTCGGTCAGACCACCTGAGCTGGCCTCAGCCAACGCCGGTAGAACTGCACTGACAGGGGCGCTGGTGTAGCTGCCTTCGTCTTGCACCGAGGTGGTCTCCGCACCCGGGGCGGATAATGAGTTGATCTCGTTTGCTGATGAGAACCCCGCGCCAACGGTTGAGCTGATCTCGCCGCCCGTCGAGCTAGTCCCGACGCCTGCAGTGGAAACCTCGTCGGCGAATGAGGCGATCTCATTGCCTGACAAGAAGCTCTCACCAACAGTTGAGCTGGCCTCTGGTGCTGGCGGGCTGATCTCACCGAACGAATCTCCGGCGTCTCCGCCACCCGGAACAAAACCTGAGTCTTCTTCCACAACGCTGAAACGAGGAGATCGTGACAGAGGCATGCCAGTGCCGATGCCTCCCACTTCTGGAGCGAAGTGTGACGCAAGCATTCAACAGGCAGTGAACGTTGCTTAAACGGTACATCAAGCAGTGAGCGGTGACGGCAGTTTGACCCCGGTCACCTCAGTTCAGCGTGCTTTGTGCTGGCGTGGGCGACGATGGCGGCAGCTGCAACCTGCAAGGCGGTGCCACATCCCTCTCCCCAGCACGTGCAGTCGCATGCCGGCCTCCCCACCCCAGTCAGAGAGCGCATGAGTCAACCTGTTGGCGCCGGGCGCGTCAGCCGAGGTCAGGTCACGTGACCACCGCAGGCGGTGTCGTGTCCGTTCCGTGGGTCGGTCGCTCGAGGCCGGCCGGGGTCGCCAAGGCAGTCTCAGACGGGACTTGCCCGCCCTGGGTGGGGCGGAGGGGTGAGAGGGCCGTGTTGAGGTCGAGTTAGGGGACTGTACGGGACTTTGGGGAGGAGCCGCGGTCATCTCTATCGTTGGCTGATCCTCTATGCTGTTAGCAAGAACGTCAGATTCTTCTGAATTTTCGACTCCTAAGGCAGCCAGTTTCTGCAACATCTTTACTCTCTTCTTGTCCTTGCTGTGAGGCCTGTAAGTTGTAATTGGCACTGACTGGGTTGCATTCCTGCGAAGCTGGGGCACCGATGCTGGGGTTACCTGATTCTTGCGTGTTCTAGGCTTAACTGTTGTCACATTAGACTCCAGTCCAATTTTGTTGGTGGGTCGTTCTGTGGACACTGATGACACTACCTTGTCTCCGTTCTTGGGCCTCCGTGCACTCTCCGATGTCAAATATTTAAGGCTCTTTCGGGGCCTGTAGGTTGTGACGACCACCGATGGGCTGCTGTGCGCGGTTGCGTTTCGCTGCTTCATGGTATCTGTTGTTGAGGTTTGTGCTTCATTGCTCTGATCAGATCCCGCTGACCTCGCTTGCTCGAGGCGCTTTCGCAGACGCCGTCTTCTCGTCTTGGCCCGATCGGTTCCGCGCTGCCCGAACCTCCGCACCGTGCGAACCGTCGCAGCGGAATCTGCCTTCGGCGCGCTGTCACCATTTGACACTGCTTTCGCGGGGAAGCTCAGACGGTTTGGATATGATCCTTCATTAGGTGCCTTTTCTGAGCTGATTGCCGCGAGTCGAGCGGCCCTCGTCGTAGGGTTCGTCTGCCGCAGCCTCTGCGCTGGCCTCTGCGGTATTGCTGGCTCGCTAGATGTGTTCTTGATAGGGAGCTGGGATCCCAGCTCTTTCTGTTGCGATTCTTTAGTTTCTTTAGCCCTGTTTCTCAAACGGTTTCGTCGCCGCTGATAAGCAGATCCCCTTTTGCGAGAAACTACATTGGAACTGGAATCATTAAGTACATTGGTGCGCTTTGGCATTGGCCTTTCCTCTTGTGCAGCTAATGTTATGTGTGTAACACGATTCCTGGCCAATTGGCGTCGTCGTTCGTATATGCTTTGTTTCCCATGTTGCGTTACATTCCTGGTGGTATTACCCGTTTCTATTCGGCTGTCCGGGCCGGTGCGTGAATTTCTCAGAAGTGATGGGCGTTCCTTCTTCCGCCTGTTCGTGAATCGATTTCGACGTCTTTGATACGCGCTTTGAACGACGGGACTTACAGAGGCTTCTTTTTCCCCCGACTCTTCACGCTCCGCCTTTACCACTTCAGCCCCGTCCTCTTGCTTTACAGGCGGTGGCAATGGTTGACGCTCTTTTCCGCCACTTCTCAATCGGTTTCTCCTCTGGTATCTGTTACCGACATTCCGCACTCTGTTACCGCTGCGTGGCTGTTTCAATACGCTCGTTCGCTGACCCTTGACATGACCCTTGCCCTCCTCCACTGGCGCCGCCGCAATGGTCGAAGTTGCTCTTCCTCTATTGAACTTCAACAGACCACCGGGCCTTCGGCGCCTGACCACGGAGCGCGGGGTCACCGTCCTCGGTAGGCTTGGCCTCCTGTTGGCCCACGGCTGCACATCTACCAAGGGCTTCTCGGACTCGCCCCTGGCCGCAGACCCCAGCAGGCTGAGCAGGGAGGAGGCCTTGGTGGTGGAAGCCGGCGGGGCGATCGTCGTCTCCGGCGGGAAGTACGTGCTGTTGATGGTGGTGTAGCGAGACGGCGCGGGAGTCGTCGCCGTCGGCGTCGACGCGTCCTCGTAACGCGTTGACGAGAGCGTGGTCGGCGCGGACGGTGGGGTGTCCTCCTGGTATCGGACCGGGTCGGGTGTGGTTGACACGACTGGCGGTACACTCTCGTGACGAGTGGGGGCTGACGTGGCGGGCCCAGGCGCCGACGTCGTCCCGAACTGCTCAAGAGACGGCGAGATCCGCATGCCATGCCAACCCTCCTGCCTGCTAAACTTGAACGAGTTCGAGACTGCCTTCAACATGCCAGTTGATGACGCCGTCGGGGCTGCCGTTGTTGATGCCATGGTAGCAGTGTGTGGGGCGTAGTCTTCGTCAACAGAGTTGTGAAGGCTGTCACCGCTGACCTCACGGGTCACGGGCGGCGACGCTGAGGTTACCGACGAACCTGCGACGGTCGCTGAGACCCGCGTCGACGAGGGCCTGTAGGTGGTCACCGCCGCAGCTGCCGCGTCGTCCGGCGTTGCGGCCTCCGTGGTTCCGGCGCCGTGACTTCTCGGGCGCTCCGTGCGCTCGGGCGGCACGTAAGGCAGCACCAGCGACGGTGTGACGATCTCGACGTGCAAGGAACCCGAGTCTGCCGATCCCGGCGCCGCCGTGACGTCGTCGTCCGCCGGCGGGTAGCTGACGGGTGGCGACATCGTTGTGCTCTGTCCCGGAGTCGTGCCCACCGCGGTGGAGGATCGCGTCGGAGCGTACTCCGTGACTGGCACGAGGGACGTGCTTGCCGCCGGCGCACCCGCCGTGGGCTCAGGCTCTGGAGTCGGCTCCGGCTCCGGCGTCGGCTCCGGCGGTAGGTGTTCGAAGGCGGACGTGCTCAAGAGGGACTGAGAGTGCGCGCTGTTTTCAGTAGTGGTTAAAGTGGAAGACTGTGTGGGTGGGTACACGGTGCTAGATATACTGTCGGGATGCGTTGTGGAGCTTTCAGTGTATGTCGGTATGGTAGATGGCTGATGCTGGGGAGCTGCAGTAACCGCCGGATCAAAATATGTAGGTAGACTTGAGACGCTTTTGTCGGGTGAGCTCGTGGTGGTAGACGTTTGGAAAGAATAATTTGTCCCCCTATTTCTTTCAGTCGTGTAAGCACTCGTAAGACTTGAGGTGGTTGGCTCTGTTACGAGATATTCAGTAACAGGCAGCCTAGTGCTACCTCCTGATGTCAGGTTTTCAGGAACGGAAGCTACTGTCGTGGAGTTTCCAAACAGATAGTTGGTTTCCGGTGTTTCCGTGGTAGAAATCGGGCGAGAGAAGTCGACAAGTGGCAGACCCGTGCTGCTCGTTGCCGACAGATGCGTAGTGGAGGGGCCCGCAGCGCCCGGCTGGGGCGTAGTGTTCACCGTTTCGGGTCTCTCGACAGTACTGGGGAAGGATACCGTGTCAGGTGCTGAAGTCGTGGAGACCGATTCGGTGGCTGGGTCCGGCGGAGGTAGATAGCCATTGAAAAGCTTCGGAACTCCTGGCTTGGCTGAAGACGAATTGCCACGACCTAAGCTCAAAATGCTGCTCAGACGAACTCCACTCGTCGCGGTATTTTGCGACACCAGCTTCTCGGCTCCGTAAGAGTTCTTCCCCGGCGAAAAGTCTTGACGCGGCGGCTCCAAATAATCAAACACTCCCATCACTTGCCTCAGATTGTCATCAGCTGCCTCCGGGCCCGGATTTAGGGCTGGTGTTGGCTGCCCAGCTTCCACCAGCGGTGCGACCGTGCTGGAAACTGGAGCTCCTGTTGATGTTAACGGCTCGAGATACTCGTCCACCAAGGCCCTAAGTGTCGTTGCCTCTACGTCTGAGGCTGACGTGGCTTCGCTAGCCCCAGGTGAAAGATATTCTCTTTCAACTGGCTTCGTCGTGGAGCCGGGCCGCGATGGCGCTGGGCTGGCTTCCGGCTTGTCGGCACCATTCTGTAGTACCTCTGCACCGGTCCTTGGCGTCTCCGTGCTGCTCGCCGCCGGTTCCTCCGCACCATCCCCGGCCACCCTAGACGACACGGGCCACACCAGTGATGCCGGTCGCTTCCTGTTCTTCTCCCGGCGCAAGCCTGGCCTCCGGACGTGCACCTTCACCTTCTCCAGCGGCACGGCGGGGCTGAAGTGCAGGTGAACTGTCTTGGAGGGCCGCAGGCGGTCCGACGGGCCCATCCTGAGCCGCACTGTCGTCGTCACCGAGAGCCGAGAGCCGAACGGCCTGTAGGTGGCGCCGGGGAGGCGACCGGAGGCGGCACCGGCGCGCAGCGAAGCGGCCGCCGTCAGGTGGCGCGAGTGCAGCGCCGCGGAGAGGCGCCGCGACACCTCCGGCAGCAGGGTCGAGCGGAGCGCGTGCAGACGCGTCGTGAAGTGCATCACCGGCCCGGGGCCGAGCCCGCGCATGGCCGAGGCGAGCCCGGCGTCGTGCTGCCGCAGCACCGCTCCGATATTCAGGCTGATGGTGGTGGTGCGCCGGCCGACGGCGGCCGGTGAGGGCGCTGCGCCCGAGGCGGGGCGGGGGAGCGGCGCAGCTGGCGGGCGCGGCAGAGGCGGGGTGGGGATCGGCGACGGGAACGGCGAGGGGAACGGGACGGAGACTACCTTGGCGCCCAGCTTCGGCCAGTCTAGTCGGAAGTCATAGATCTCGGCGCTGGTAAAAGCATAAGTCGCGTTAGTCAGGTCAGACGACGCGGTGGACGAAGCACACACAATGGCTACTGCAGATGTTAGTTCGCAAGGCAAGCACGAGCAAATTCAAAACCATAACACCGCCATAATGCTACGAGCTAAATAGACTGCTGCAAGGCATACTGGGCGTTTCACACAGCATTTTCTACGCTATTTTTCTACTATAACCCATGACCGAAATTCTATAATGTCATTCAGTCTAATGAATTTCCCACACCGATCCGGCACTACGCCAATCCCAACAGGAGCAACGAACACGACTAAAAGCTACCGTCATTCAACCCCTCACTTCGTGCTTACTATGCTAGGGTCATTAGTGCTTAGTCATGCATCAACCTCTCACGTGTTAGCAATCCAACGAAGCCTTCACACCGACAGGGTAATCTTCGTTCATTTAACGGCGACGAAGACAGAGGGGATAATCGCCCACCTGTTCTGTTGCTGTCCCTCCTGAAACTGGCTGTCCGGCTGCGGGTACGTGTACTCTTCCTCGGCTTGCTGACCTTGACCTCGGAGGTCGATGACCTGCCCGCTAACTAAGCCGTCTTGGCTCTGATCGGACACGAGGGCATTGCCGCCCAGGTCGCTCTGAGGAACAGTGGGATGAGTTGGCCAGTGCCGAACGATACCATTTGGATGAGAACTGCGGCACATAAAACAAGATGCATATCCCGATGCGCTAGCGCAATGAAACATGTGGTTTTGTGCCGTAGATCAGTGACCTTACAAGGTTAATCTGAATTTATTTTACTTAACAATCCGCTATTTAATTGTCGCAATGAGACATGTGGTTTCCAGCACGCGCTGGGGGGGGGCGGGGGTCAAACTGACCAGCCCCCAAAGGTTTTTTCCAGACAATTTTGCACAGCTGTAGACAACAGAACAGCGGATTGTCTAGTAGTACAAATTCAGATTAACCTTGTAAGGTCACTGACCTGCGGCAGGTCAAAGTCAGGCCATGGATTCTGCGAGGTCAATTTCTAGGGAATCGTTCATTCTGATGCAACAACGGAGTGTTAGACGTAACCGTAATCTCTGGGATGTTTTCTTAAGCAACACAATAATTGACTGATCAAATTCCATTGACCTATGGTCAGCTTTAAAAGTCTGACCAAGGCCAGACTGCTTTAGTACTTTAGGATTTGCTGTATGGGGTAGTTTCTATTGCTCATTTAAAATTTATTGATGACTGGAACCGTATTACACATCTTCTATGCGTTTTCAAAGGTCAGAATGGTCACTGACCTAAAATGACTGAGGTCAACATTTTGTTTCTAGGAACATGCTGCATAGCGTAAGGTTTATCGCTTATTCAAATGAAAAGCTAAAACCAGTGTAGTATGATATTGGTCACCATGACCTTCAAAAGGTCACTGGCCTTAAATAATCATGTGACCTTTTGCTTAGAACAGCATCTAGGTTCTGGGGGCACTTTGGAGACCAACCAGGAGATCGACCTTGTTTGAAGTGTTTGACCCCAAGGTCATAATCTAGGAACCTCAAACTCTGACCTGAGTGGGTTCAGGTACAGGCCAGTACACCCTGTAAATTTGGTGTCTCTAGCTTCCCTAGTTCCCGAGATCTCAGGGGGTCAAATTGACCCTCCACCCGAGCGAAGGGCATCCAACCACCCGGGCGCGTGTTAATAAATGAGCCAACACCCATATACCGCTATGCATGTTCTACGTTTCTGCTCTTCCACGGGATGTACTTTAGCCAGCAATTGTAGCCAGCCATTGCTTGCATTATAGCTTAATACCACGCCCTTCAGGCTGATATTCGTACCCATCATCACAAACGATGGAGAAATCTGGAGCCGTGATTGCCTGCAAAACGCCCTGACGCTCTGTTCCACCTCATTTTGGCATCCTTAATTCCAAGCCTGATCGTGGTAAAACACGACCGCAAAACAGAGCACAACCACAGTCGTGATGAGCTAAGCCAGACGTGCATTTTCGCGGTCGGTCGGCGCGCCATCCGGCACTCTGGCACGGGAACCGTCGGCGGTCTGCCGGCGCCTCAGTCCAAGCAGCGCTCCACCCCCGCATTACTGCGTGTCTCCAGTCTTAAGTGCGCCCCTGACTGTACCCGCGCTGCACTGCCAGCCGCAAGGCAGAGAAAGCGCCTGACTCCCGCGCCGGCGAATCTCGCCCGTTGTCACTGCGGACGCGGCTGGCGGCGCCGTGGCGCCCGCGGCGCTCCTGGCGCCGACTGATGGACGCGGCGCAGCTGTGGGAAATTGTCGCGCGCGCGCCACCGCCGCCTCATCGCGAAAACCGCGCGTGCGTCCCACCAGACGACGCACGTGGCTCCGGAAAGTCCGAACGGTCGCGGCGATGTCGGCCTGTTAATGACACCGACATGCAGCCTCTAAATGGCTTCAGCCCCGCCATCTGACTCGGCGGACATGCCGCGCTTTTTCGAAGGCCACCCGAGGGGATCTTCACCTCTGTCCGCGCGTCCGTCGGTGGCGGTGAGCGTCGTACCGCGCGGACAGGCCATGCGTCACCGGCGGCGAGAGACGCTCTCGGAGGCGTCATCGGCGGCGAGAGACGCTCCGGGAGCCGTCACCGGCGGTGAGAGACGCTCTCGGAGGCGTCAACGGCGACGAGAGACGCTCTCGGAGGCGTCATCGGCGGCGAGGACGTCGTCCATCACGGGGCGGTCGTGGCGCATCTCCGAGCCGTTTCGTCACAAGGCACGCTGTCCCGCGGGGAGGCACCGTCGCGGAGACGGCGCGCCCTCGGCACCCGTCGACAGTGACGTGACTCTCGGGCGGCGATGGCCATTGAAGCGTCTCGCCGGACCGGGGCGCGTCACGTGAAGAGATGAGAGTGCTTCGCAGCAGCCGCAGATTGTCAGCGCGACACTACCGCGGGATCATGCTCAGCGGGATCGCCAGCATTTTAGCTGTCCGATCGCCAAAATTGTAGTTGTTCAAATCCGACTGACAGAAGCAAACTGTGGCGCTCACAGAAAATGCCTCGGATATCTGGCATGCGCTTACCTCAGTCGGTCGAGGCAGTGGCGGCAGACAAGTTTTAGTCGTTGGTTTGCTGGACGGGAAACTTAAATACCTGTGTGGCTTTGGAAAGGCGTGACGGTCGGCCGCACACCGAGAACGCTTCTCAACGTATCTCAACTATTTGCGGGGGGACTGCGGTAATGGCACGACACTGCGGTCGGGCTGCGTGACGCTCTGACGTGAGCGTGTACGTGATGGCGCGTGACTTAATGGTCGATGGGCACCACTAACAGGCAGTTGTCGCCACCATAATAAAGCCATCGGACGACTGTGATTTACTGCACTGGTATGTCCGGAGAAATGCCGCCTTGAGACCCGATTAAGAAACTATTACGAGAGACGATGAATTAGAAGGACCATTTCTAAATCATTTCTGGGTAAATACGTTGAGGTAGAATATAACAAGTGGGCGTCCGATCAGGTAAACTGCTGCGAGCCTTGGGCTATGATTTGAATGATAATTCACTGAATATCATAACACTGATTAAGGTGCTATTGATGAATAAAAGAGCGTCACCATAAGCAGTGGGAAAGCATTACGATAAAGCATTTATGCTCTCTCTTTGTGGTGTTGTCAAAGAGCATTCCCGATAGCACCAGTTTATGCATTGTTCTATGTCGTGAATAGGTGCGCAGAGCAATAGCTGTCAAAAGCATATGGCTCCTAATTCACACACGCGTGAGCGTACCGTTTCATGTCAGCATGGTTGTACCCAGCGCTACGGCAGAACAGGATTAAGCACAAAATGCATTACAACGGGAGTATGATTTGTTGAGTCGGATGCAACGTCTTCAGCCTAGGGGGTTTATTATTTAAGGGGGTTTATCAAGGAGCATTTGGTCCGGCTCACTTCTGTAAAACAGCTCGGCTTGCAAAGGAAAACGTCGGCACGTGCGAAGATTTTTGGACAAGTAAAAAATGTGCTAGGGATAATATGATGCATAATAAGTTTGACCAGCATGGTGACCAACTTTACCTCAATGTTGCCAAGGAAATGTGGCAAACATACAAGTGGTACCTGTGAGAACGCTTTCGAATATTGTGATGGATATCTAAATCACAATTCGCCAGCATTGTTCCTACTTCCCAGCCATGTCTCCACCTCCTCCCTTTCAGTCGACGGAGGTCGCGCCTATGGCGGCCAGAGGTCGTTGTAGGTCGTGCCGGAGCGTCCGCTCAGCTGATTTTGTAACGCCGAGTGCGCCACTCCAGTGATCATCAGCAAATCGCTGACACGACCGCGTCTTATGCTCGGCCCTCTGCACGTGGTGTGAGACTCAAGCGATAACTGTGAGAGAGCGGCGAGCGGCGCGGTGCGGCTGCACTCGCGCGCCGGCGGGCTAGTCATGACGTTAGCGGAAGAAGCCCTCCGGTGACAGGCATACTGGTCAGGGGACCGAAAAGGAGGCTTACCTGGACCGTGTTCGAAGCTTGGTCTGCGGCAGGCTGGGCGATGAAGCCTCCGTCACTAACCGACCTGAAATATGATTGTGATCATCATCCGGTACAGATGACTTAGTGACTCCATGTTCAGGCGCAGCGTAGTGTAGTCTTAGATGTGACCAGTGGGCGTTAACAAAGGTGACTGACGATTTACGAGTAATCCGACAAACGAGGCTTGTGCAGACCACGGAACGTAGTGCGATATCCTGGCCGTCGCGTGTAAGAGGAAAGTGAGAGAGGCCCATTGCATAAGTAGGACACAAATGCACGCAATGCATTCCTTTCCGAAGAGTTACATTTGACCGCTAGCATTCTGTCGGAATAAAGCACGCAAAACAGAGGCATCGCTATGGTGCAGCTAGACGAGTCATGTCGATCGACTCACAGGGGCAGTGACGTCATAATTTTGCCCGCGGCACATCTGCTCGATGTCTACTCACTGTGTCTGCGAGATGTCATCAAACGACGTGTCTACCGTCGACTGGAAGTCACCCTGGCTCGCGAAGGCGTCTCCAGAAATCTGCACGTCGCCGTCTTGGGCCTGCTGATACTGCTGCTGGTCAACAGCGATGCTGTTCTGGACGGACGAAACCTGGTCCTGCTGGGTCTTGACTCCTCCCTGCTGGCTGTCGCTGAAACTCTCATCAAACGTCACCTGGTTTTGAACAATCTCGGTTTGCCGCGCGCCTTCATCAACGGCTCCCAAAATGGACGTTTGCTGATTCTCCTGAATCACAGCTTGGCCATTGTCTACGAAGTTACTTTCGAAGGAATCCGGTTGGTTAGCAAAAACGCTGTCTTGTTGATCGCTCGTGAAGGTGTTGTCCACGTTCACACCCTGAGCATTCTGGACGATCTCTCCCTCTTGCTGGACGTTCACAAATCCACTGTTAAAGGAAGCGTCCTGCTGTTGCTGCTGGGAGTCGACGATGACATCGCCGAAGGTGGACTGCTGTTGGTCTTGGACGAACTGCTGTACCTGATCGGATAGCGTCACAGGCTGCACGCCCAAGGCTGCGCCTCCTCGGATATCGATGTCTGGGACCTGGCCATTTGTCTGCGGAGGCAGATAATCCTGGACAACGCCGACACTATCGCCGCTGGAGAAAACACTCTGCCCTTCCTGGCTCTGGCCGCCCGAGGTGAAGCTATTGGTAGCGTCTCCAGATATGAGCCCCGCGCTGCTCTGATCTTGGGCATCGGAGACGACGCTATTGGCAGCGTTTCCAGATATTACGCCCGCGCTGCTCTGATCTTGGGTATCGGAGATGAAGTTATTGGCAGCGTCCCCAGATATCACGCCCACGCTGCTCTGAGAGGAGACGCCAGAGCCCTGATTGTCATAGTTGTCTGCAGCGTTGCCTGATATTACACCAACGTTGCCCTGAGAGGAGACGCCAGAGCCCTGATTGCCATAGTTGTTGGCGGCGTTGCCTGATATCACACCAACGTTGCCCTGAGAGGAGACGTCAGAGCCCTGATTGTCATAGTTGTTGGCGGCGTTGCCTGATATCACACCAACGTTGCCTTGAGAGGAGACGTCAGAGCCCTGATTGTCATAGCTGTTGGCAGCGTTGCCTGATATCACACCAACGTTGCCGTCAGTCAATCCACCGGAGGACTGATCGTTAATAATAAAGTTATTTGCAGCATCGCCAGATATCACGCCTTGGCTATCCTGGATCAATCCACCAGATCCCTGGCTGTCCGAGACGAAGCCGCTCCCAATGTTGTCACCTATCACACCTTGGTTGTTCTGAGAGAATCCACCGGAGCTCTGACCGTCGGCGATCAGGCTGTTGGTCGCGGGCGGTCCGTAGCCCTGGTTCAGGCCATCTCCGGCCGCGGGCTGAGCCGCGGCGTCGCCCTGCACCAGCACCTGCGGAGCCGGCGCCGGTCCCAGCAGCAGGCTGTTGCCGGCCGGCGGGCCATACCCGGCGGCCGTCGTCTGCGCCTGGGCGACCTGCTGCCGCGCCCCTCCCGGGCCGGCCAGCAGGCTGTTGCCGGCCGGCGGGCCGTAGCCGTCCAGCGGCTGCTGCTGCCCGGCCGGCTGGGGCCGGGCGCCCCCCGTGATGACGGTGGCGCCGGCCGGCAGCGGGCCAGTCAGGATGTCGTTGGCGCTCGGCGGCCCGTACTCCTGGCCCGGCTGGCGCGGCGGCGGGGAGAGGCGGCCGGCCTGCTGCGACGCGCCCCGCGGCGGGCTGATAACCTGCTGCTGCTGGGGCGCGCCGTAGTCTTGGCTCGCCTGCTGGTTGAAGCTCTGCTGGGGGACGAAGCTGGTGGCCTGGGAGGAACTGATGATGTCTTGCTGCTGGGGCGCGCCGTAGTCCTGGCTCGCCTGCTGGTTAAAGTTCTGCTGGGACGCAAAACTACCGGATTGCTGTTGGGAGGGAAAGCCGCCGACTTGTGCAGGGCTGATGATATCCTGCTGCTGAGGTGCGCCGTAGTCCTGGTTCACCTGTTGGCCGAAACCCTGCTGAGAAGCGGAGCCGCCGAATAGTGGCTGGCTTACGGTATTTTGTTGCTGCGGTGCACCGTAGTCCTGGTTCACCTGCTGGTTCTGCTGAGAGACGAAACTTCCCGCCTGTCCTGAGCTGATGATGTCCTGCTGCTGCGGTGCACCGTAATCTTGGCTTGCCTGCTGCCCCCGGCCTTGCTGCACGCCCTGATTGAATAATTGTTGGCTGAAGGGAGCCTGCTGGGACTGCTGGCCGACAGAGACCTGGGCAGCCTGCGTCTGGCTGATTACGTCCTGGAACTGGGGCGCGCCGTATTCCTGACTTTGCTGCTGACTGAAGCCTTGCTGGCTGACTGTGGCCGGGCCCTGTGGAGACCCGTACGCCTGCTGCGGAGAGTCGGCGCCGTTAAATAACTGCGGCAGAGGTGACGGAGGCAGCCTCGCCAGCTGCTGTTGGACAATAATGTCCTGCTGTTGCGGAGCCCCGTAACCTTGTTGCGGCCGTGACCCTTGCTGAGGAGCTCCGTAGTTTTCCTGAGCTTGCGGTAGTTGCTGAGGGCTTCCATAGTTTTGCTGAGGCTGGGATGGCTGCTGAGGGGCACCGTAGTTTTGTTGAGGCTGAGCTGATTGCTGAGGGTTTCCATAGCTCTCTTGAGGCTGGGACGGCTGCTGAGGGCTTCCATAGTTTTGCTGAGGCTGAGATGGCTGCTGAGGGGCGCCATAGTTTTGCTGAGGCTGTGATGGTGTCTGAGCGGCTTCATAGCTTTGCTGAGGCTGAGATGGCTGCTGGGGGCTTCCATAGCTCTGTTCGGGCTGGGTAGGAGCTCCATAGTTTTGTTCAGGCTGCGTGGGGGCCTCATAGCTCTCTTCAGGCTGTGTGGGGGCTCCGTAGCTCTGTTCAGGCTGCGTGGGGGCTCCATAGCTCTGTTCAGGCTGCGTGGGGGCTCCATAGCTCTGCTCAGGCTGTGTAGGAGCGCCATAGCTCTGTTCAGGCTGCGTGGGGGCTCCATAGCTCTGTTCAGGCTGCGTGGGGGCTCCGTAGCTCTGTTCAGGCTGCGTGGGGGCTCCATAGCTCTGCTCAGGCTGCGTGGGAGCGCCATAGCTCTGTTCAGGCTGCGTGGGGGCGCCGTAGCTCTGCTCAGGCTGCGTGGGGGCGCCATAGCTCTGTTCAGGCTGCGTGGGGGCTCCGTAGCTCTGTTCAGGCTGCGTAGGGGCTCCATAGCTCTGTTCAGGCTGCGTGGGGGCTCCGTAGCTCTGCTCAGGCTGCGTGGGAGCGCCGTAGCTCTGTTCAGGCTGCGTGGGGGCTCCATAGCTCTGTTTCGGCTGCCTGTTGGCGCCCCGCGAAGGGCCCGGAATCGGTACCCATTTAAAGCCATTGCATGCTTCGCACGCGGCAGAAAAATCCTTGGAGGTTCGCTGGCCGCCGCCGTACGCTCCCCCTGCAGCTCCGCCTCCACCGCCGTGTCCATCTCCATCGCCTCCACTGTATCCACCGCTTCCACCATCGTGTCCACCACCTCCATTACCTCCACTATATCCGCCGCCTCCACCGCCGTGTCCAATGGCTCCACCAACATGTCCGCCTCCTCCACCACCTCCGCTGTATCCACCTCCTCCTCCACTGTGTCCACCGCCTCCACCGCCTCCGCTGTATCCAACGCCTCCACCATCGTGTCCACTGCCTCCACCACCGTGTCCGCCTCCGCCACCGCCTCCACTGTATCCACCTCCTCCTCCACTGTGTCCACCGCCTCCACCACCTCCGCTGTATCCCCCGCGTCCACCGTCATGTCCACTGCCTCCATCACCGTGTCCGCCTCCTCCACCGCCTCCACTATATCCGCCTCCTGCGCCACTGTGTCCGCCGCCTCCGCCTCCGTGTCCATCACCTCCACCGCCATGTCCACCTCCTCCGCCGCCTCCGCCGTATGTACCGCCTCCACCGCCGTGTCCACCGCCTCCACTTATATGGCCGCCTCCACCACCACCTCCATTGTATCCCCCTCCACCACCGTGCCCACCTTCCCCACCTCCTCCGCTGTATCCACCACCCCCGCCTCCGTGTCCACCTCCTCCACCACCGTGTCCACCCGACGGTGCCGAATAACCAGATGATGGTGGTGCCCCGTAGCTGGTTGAGGGCGGTGGTCCATAGCTGGTCGAGGGCGGTGGTCCGTAGCTGGTTGAGGGCGGTGGTCCGTAGTTGGTTGAGGGCGGTGGCCCATAGCTGGTTGACGGTGCGCCGTGTCCGCCGCCGTGTCCGCCGCCGTGTCCGCGGCCGCGGCCGCCCTTTCCTCGTCCTCGGCCCCTGCCGCCGTGTCCCTTGCCGCGCCCTCGCCGGCTGTTGAAGCCGAACAGCTTGAGCAGGTCCCGCCTCTCCCTTTGGTGCTCCTCCGCCGCCACTGCGCACAGCGCAGTCAGCAGGCAGACCTGCGGACGAGGGCGGCGCCGGGTCAGAACAGCCTGCGGGAGGCCAGCCGAACGAAAAAAGGGAGATGGAAAGGACGCAGGATGTATTGGGATGTGCACGCTGTAGGGATGTGCCGCACAAAAAGTTTCGAGATGATCGTAGCGCATGGAAGACTGACGTCAAATACGGTACCACGACCACCGCGGCGCGGCGCTTTTATTTTCTGACGTTGTCAGATTGTAGGGATTAATATTCGAAGCAGATGTAGATATTTCAGGCTTTGGACAGAGGGCCTTCGGCCCAAAGACAATGGTTAAAAGAGGGTTTGTGGATGCTTCATGTCAACTTTCCCATCGGTTAAAGAAATAATATTCCACCAACTGTTCAGGGAATCACAGCTCATTGCAGGCATTTTTTCTGCGCTACGCTATGCCGCAGCACTGTTGCATCAAACTACGTTAAAACTCTGGGTGGTTGGCCGCCAACATTTACATTTGGTCTGGGTGAAATGAAGCGTCTACACTGCAGGGAGAAGGCGGCGTCCGTAGATACATTAACTAGCACTTTTCCACCGACGGCGGCAAAGATGATTCGTCTCAGCCAGCAATTTCACTTTACTTTACGGCCATTGAAGCGTCATGCTCATTCGTGCAGCATTTCCATAACCAGCGCGTCGGATTCGGCCCGGCCCGCCGCACGCGACAACAACCGGTTGTCTTGGACACCACCTGCGCCGCCGCCTCTCCACCCGCCGGCGTGGGATGCGGCGCCTTCTCGTCATGAAATATGCAAACGCTCCGCAGTGGGCCAGTCCTAGTTGTGCAAGATTATATTTCCATTCTGGCATGTGTCGTCAGACAGTTGCGATACAAGATGAAGTGAAATTGGTTAGGAAGTGGATGGAGGTGTGCCGGATAAGCAGTCTGACTTGCAAATATGCTTGATGCATCTGACACAAATGCGTCGTCAATTCCGTTTCTCTAATGCCGCATGCTGGCTTTTGAGCGGGAGCGATTCGTACAGGCATGGACGATTCATGGCTGGTAGGCAATCCTGTCAACATTCACCGATCAATTTTGACAAAGGTCCTCACAGCCCCGACTCTTCTGGTATTTCAGTAATGGCCAAACTCTGACATCATGTCACTTTTTGCATCATGGTCGAGGCATGGCTGTTTACACTATAACGGTTACTAAAAGACCGCTCAGACGAAAACGTGACGCTCGTCCAGCAGCGGTGCCGTGCCGTTCTAAGATGATGGGATGAGCAGAGTCTGGGTTTGGTCCGCGCATGTCCCTCGCAAAGCTGACAAACACATTTCTAGGGAGACCATATCACACATCAGTGGACATCACTCGTGCAGCGGAGGTGGTGGGCGGGGATATGGGAGAGGATGCAACGAGTAGCGCTAGGGCGGGGTTTAGCATATGCGACCGGGGGGATGTCAGCCACAGACGGGGAGCTCAATTGGTCGAAATGAATGGGCATGGATAAAGGGTGAGTGGTTCGGGTGGATGACACATTGAAGTTATCTTGGGATTGAATTGAAAATGCCGCTGACACAATGCGGGTTGATCTCCGAACCATCTGAACTAAGGCATACAGCTGGAAACAAGGGCGTAATGACGTGATATTTACGTCATTTACTATTTCATTGAACAGGTAAGCCACAACAACTGTATATCAGGATGCTGAAAGGCTCGTAAACCTAGGCCGCATTAGCCATCTCTAAAGGCTGCTACCATACAACTAAGAGTGCATAGAACCGCTGTTGTTTGGGGCCTGCCGTTCTCTCATGCCTTTCACAATGCCTACCTCGCCGACCGTGGGCCGTCTGACCGGTCACCTCTGGCACCTCCGGCACCTCTGGCACCGGGGGTGGGCCCGGTGGGCCCCGGCCGGGTGCGCCGCCCGCCTCATTACTACCCCGGCGCGTGATTGAAATCACGATTATAGCCGGTCAGCAGGGGCGCGGCCATTACGCGGCCAGCGCGGATGACCCCAAGCTAACCTTTGAAAGCTGCGGGCTGGCGACCGGCGTTGGCGTGCAGGCGGGGTGGGGCTAACGGCACCCGGCCCCGGACCGCCGACTCGGCGGCCGGCCCGCCCCCGCACGGACGACCTGTGCGCCTGACCTGGCCTCGGCGAACCCACGGGGCGACGGCCGGCCGGGGGGAGCGCTTGGAAGCCAGGTGGGGCAATCAGGTTCTCTCGGGGACGATTTCAAACCCGTTGAAAGAGACGTTAGTCTGATTTGGGTTTGACTATACTGAGAGGGTTGGGCGAATAGACCCAGTGGCAAGCGCGCGAGTAAAACATCCGGTCCTTCTCACCTTTGTCAACATTTATCCGTGTCTTTCTTTATCGCTGCTACCCACAGAAACGAACTGGTGTCTTTTAACTGATAATTTTCTAGTTCATATCGCTACTACGTAGCCTCTGTGCCGCCATTCTGGTCCATTTAACGGGACACAGTGCGATCAATCTCCCACAAGAACTCTTGAAGCCAACATACGGAAAGCGGAAGCTGACGACATACTCCTGAGTGCGAGTCGGCCTTGCTACGCACCCGAGCGTAACCGGGTGAAGCCTGGTCTTATCCCCGGTCTGTGTCGTTTTCCCCCGGCGCCGCCTGAGACATTTCCGATGACGTGTCAAGTGAGGACAAACGCAGGCGGACAGACGAACGTGACGACCTGGGCACGGTGGTGACGGTACCCAATCGCCGCTCCGATAGCCTGAAGTTGAGTCGCCTCCGCGTCACAACCGTCACCCAGCGCCCCGGAGAAAGTCCCGAGGAGACGCCTCGACACACTGCCGCTCCATCCGACGACGATTAATAACCCAAACAGGCGTGAGACTCGAGGCTCGTGCGCGCGCTCCGGTCTTACAGCCGCGCCGCCCACGCCGCCCACGCCGCCGACCGGGCCGCTTACGTCACGTGGTCACGTGACGGCCGTCGATCAGCGCTCGGCGGTCGGAGGTCCACCGCAGACGTCCATGGCCCAGCGTTGGCTCCGATGACGCCGGCCACGTCACCGGCCGCCAGCGCGTGTCACGGGTCCTTCGCGCGTGACCGTTGGGATTGGGTTCTCAGCGGCGCCGCGACTTTGGTGGAGCGCGTGAGCCGGGCCTGCGACAGGGCCTTCGATATCGGTGAGCGGAGGCTGAGGACTGCGGCGGCTCTCACTTTGCGTCATGTCAATACGCCGACCACCGCGGGGAGGCTGCCGGCCGCGTGGCTGCACTTTCATGCATCTGCAAATGCGCCGTCGGTCCGAAGTCCCGCCGCGTGTCACAGTGGTCTAGCCCGCGGTGTCCCACTGCAGGAGTGAAGGGAATTCCGCCTCAGGCAGTCATATTGGCTGGTCATCCCGCACTCGTTCGCAGCACGCCTATTTCTATCGCTGCGTGCATGGGTTGATCTGTGAATGCATGTCGTCACGGCTATTGGCACCGGGCTTCACCCCTGATTTGCCCGAACACCGTCACCCATTCAAACACAGCATCACGTTTGAGCTCTGCTCCCTCCTTACTCTGACGTGCACAAGCGACCCTTGAAGCTGTGCCCCTCCCCTCGCCCTTCTTCCCACGACAGCCTGTCTGCCCGCCCCGCCTCGCCGGCCGGCCCCGGCCCTCGGACGTAAGGCGTGAACAACACTCATCTGAGGAAACCCTCGCGGCACGCGACGCCGGCTAATTGCACGGCATTCCCGTGTGCGTGCCTGGCCTCGCCTCGTCTCCGTCCGGCGCGCCCGTGGGTGCAGCACGAGGCTGGGAGGGCAGAGAAACTGGGCGCCATGGGAGACTCCCCACGGCCCCATTATGATGTACTTCCGAGCCCGGCGCCAGCGAGGCTGTAGGCGAGGCTCGTCACACTGGTGCCACCGTGTCACGGCTGCACCGAGCTTGAGGGCGACAGCAGGCATGTACACCCGTGCTATTCGAAATGGTTGCTACGGTAGCATTTGTGCTAATTTGTTGTATGACATTGGTGTACAGTCGTGCTACGGTAGCACTTGTATTTCACATGCTAGCGGTACTCCTCGATCAGCAGATAACGGGCCGTGGCCAGCACAAGCGAATAGACACGAAGGCGTCTCATTTCGTGGTTTTGTTCCGTATCCAACTCCTCCATTTTTCATGAGGAGTGACTCCGAGTTCGTATGGTGCGCTCTCGCGGTCAACAGGATGCGCATCGCTTGCGCGGGCGACAGCAAGCACCGTCACCGGGCCACGCTCGCCGTGTTTGCCTTGCATGTGGGCCACGGTTGGAGCGGGTCCGGTGGCGCCGCAGCTGACGTGTCACCTGGCCGGGACGCCATCAGCCAAGCAGCGGGCGGAGGGCTTTCGCTCTCCTCCGCCGGCTGCGGCGGTCTGCGCGGGCCGCGGCGAGCGCACCGTCCGCACCGGCCATCGCTTGCCGCCGCCTGCTGATGCTCATATATTTAGAAAAAATATAATAGAAGAGATAAAAAAGATATTTGTATGTATAGCATGAAGATGCAAAATAGGCTATTTATATATGTGTATGTATACATATATATGCACACAAACACACACACACACACACACACACACACACACACACACACACACACACACATATATATATATATATATATATATATATATATATATATATATATATATATATATATACATATGTTTGATTAAAAATAACTGCTGACTCAGCACTGACGAGCTTTTTTACGCATCGTTCTATATCGCATAATATATATATATATATATATATATATATATATATATATATATATATCCTTGTCTGCATGCCAGCTGAGGCAACGCACGGGTAAAGAAGACTATGTCCTCAACGCGGATGGTGGCGGTGTTGGTTGGGGAAGTCTGATCCACTGTGTGTCTGGCGCACACGTTATGACCACGGTACGGCTGTTCGCAGACCAGTGAAACCATCCGTTCAGATCCTATAAACAGCGGACGAGAAAGTGAGCGCCAAAACAATACGCAAATGGCCAGCATGGAAATTCAGCACGTCCAG